TGTCACCTGTGTTCCTCTACGTGTCTGGAAGCAATAGGGATCTACGTTAGTGGATATCTTGTGTGTGTGGCGGGGGGGTGGGGGTGCGGGGGGGGGGGGGGGGGGGGGGGTCCTGTCTTAGATTCGGGCATCCGGAGATTAAAGCAACGGTGTAAATGTGTCTGTGCCCTAGTGGAACTGCGCGCTGGGAAAGGGATCTTCGAGAAATTTTCCTGAACACCAGCGGACATTGTTAAGCCCAGAGTCCCCAGGCTTTTCCAGGTTTCCAGGCAAGAGGATTCTGAGACATGTCGGCTTCAGTGAACGAAAGCCTGCAGCTTCAGCTGTTGGAGATGGAAATGCTGTTCTCTATGTTTCCCAACCAAGGAGAAATAAAACTTGACGATGTAAATGCCCCGAGGAATATAAAGAGATATTTAGAAGGCACAAGGGAGGCACTACCAGCAAAGATTGAATTTGTGATTACGCTTCAGATTGAGGAGCCCAAGGTGGGTGCCTTCTTTTGTTTCAGGTGTTGCTAAGTGCCCAGTTTTTTACTGAAACTGCTGCATGGCCGTCCTGTTCAGGAAACCAGTTTCCAGATGCGTGTTCTTCTACTTGTTTGCAAGCAAAACACATGACATGGGCTGCTCTGTAAATAGTCTTCAGTAAACATCGCGAATTTTATATGAATATGCACACCATTTAAACAAATACGCCCAGTCCTTTTATTGAAATTATCTTAGTTTTGCACTCCCATTCTGTTTACTCATCCAATGTCTTACCGTTCCACTTAGTGCAGATTGCCCTAACAAGTGCCATGATTTTCACAAGCCTAAATACTACATGTAAACACACTGGCTTTTAAGAAGGTAATGAATGTTTTTGGACTTTTTAAATTGCACCATATGCAGAAAGCAAATAATTTGAATGTGAAAAATGAATTAACTTCCATTTTCTCATTTATCTGCAAATAAGTAGCACAGAGTAGGTGACACTGGACTGGTCACTTGAGAGCTGTTTTGCCTCCTCTCTAGTCATCCTTCAGCTGTTATGCTGAGGAAGCTACCTGCCTCATTAGACTGTATTCTATCCAGAACTTTATGGTGGTAACGTGTCGCATGAGTGAAATTACGTACTGCCTATATGTAGTGATTTTTGTTCTATTTTTGTCTAATGTATTCTTTACTAGGCTCTAGAACTCATGAAAATAGTAGTGTCTAATTCTTCACTACCGTATACCAGCACAGGACACCTAGCATATGTAGTTCAGTAAGTATTAAAAAGAATGAATGCTTAAACGTAAAGAATTGTGCACATAAAGTGCTTGGTAGATAGCTGACAACAGCAGTGACGACTGTTCCCTTTATCCAAGTCATGCCGTTGCAAATGATGAACTAGCTTGTATGGTCTCATGGTATTTAACTCTGTTGGATTTTAATTTTAAGGTGACAATTGACTTGCAAGTAACCATGCCTCACAGCTACCCCTATGGAACACTGCAGCTGTTTGCTCGGTCATCTGACCTTGATAGACAACAGCAGCTACTTCTCAACAATGGCCTCACTTCTTATATAGGGACTTTCGATCCAGGTGAGCTCTGTGTGTGTGCAGCAATTCAGTGGCTCCAGGACAATGGCGCCTCCTATTTTCTAAACAGAAAGCTTGAGCAGGAACCATCTGCCCAAGCAAAGCCAGTCAAGAACACATTCCTCCGGATGTGGATCTACAGCCACCATATCTATCAGCAAGACCTAAGGAAAAAGATTTTGGAGGTGGGGAAAAGGTTAGATGTGACTGGATTTTGCATGACAGGAAAGCCTGGTATAATCTGTGTGGAGGGTTTCAAGGAGCACTGTGAGGAGTTCTGGCACACGATTCGCTACCCCAGCTGGAAGCACATTTCCTGTAAGCACACAGAGAGCATGGAGACCGAAGGGAATGGCCAGGATCTGCGCCTTTTCCATTCTTTTGAAGAATTACTCCTTGAGGCCCATGGCGACTACGGATTAAGGAATGACTATCACATGAATCTAGGGCAGTTCTTGGAATTTCTCAAAAAGCACAAAAGTGAACATGTTTTCCAGATATTATTTGGTATCGAGAGCAAAAGTTGACTCCTAGGAAGTTACTTAGGTCTGTGCTTGTCATTTCCCTAAGTCAGTGTTTCTATTAATAAGACCAAATTAAAAAGGCCAGTAGCTATGTAGCAGCTTCAGTGAGAACCCTAGCTCCAGCATTTCACAGGCTTTGTAGCTGTGTAACAGTGCAACTGTGATGTTACCTGTAGTTACCAGTGCAACTGTGATGTTACCTGTAGGTTACCAGTGCAACTGTGATGTCACCTGTGTTCCTCTACGTGTCTGGAAGCAAAACATGTAACACTGCTGTCATTTGAAAACTATTTATTTATAAATAAAAATAGTCCATTTAACCAGTGAAGCTTGATCTGATTAAGGAGTATAAAACCACAAGTTAATGTTAGAAGTACAACTGCAAGCTGGGCATGGTGGCAAACGCCTGCAATCCCAGCATTGGGGATGCTGAGGTAGGATCATCGGAGTTGGAGACTAGCCTGAGCTACAAGGTGAGCTCAAGATCAGCCTGAGCTGCCGACTAAGACCATCTAAAAAGCCAAAGGGTAGGGCTGGGGGATAGCTCAGCAGTCTAAGCACCTGCCTAGCAAGCGCAAGCACCTGGGTTTGATCCCCAGGCTTCAGAACCCTTGATGTACTGTGCCAGTCACGGAAACCAGGCGTGGTGGTGTACATGTGTAATCCCAGCACTGGGGAGGCTGAGATAGGAAGATTATTGTGAGTCTGAGCTACGTAGTGAGACCCTGTACCACATAAATAAGTAAAAGATTAAATGAAAAAGTCAAACTGCAAATATGAATTCATAAATAGGAACAGTTCTCTCTTTCATAGCAACTTCCATCATTGGAAATCTAAATCAAAGAGCAAATGACAATAAAGGAAAAAGCATGTGGCTACTACATTTCACCCTCTATTTCAAGTGTATTATTTTACTAACACAAGATAATAGCAATGATAGAGAAATCTTAGTAATTAGGTCTCAAGAGCAAAGGTAACCTCCGTGCTGTTTATGTCAGTTTGTTAGCGACAGCCATCTTCTTAGGGCTGTACCCAGTACTCCTCTGCTTTTTCCCAGTTGCCCACAGCCGTTACACAGTACAGTATGGCGTGAGCATGGAAAGGTCCAGCGAGGAGAGCTCATGATGACCTTGTGGAGAAGAGTCACAAGGTGCCAAGGCCCTTACTGTATCTCTTATGAAAACTCCCAAGTTCCATCTTCGACTACAAAACGAGAGCTGACCTTCATGATTCACTCCCTATTGAAGTGGCTCTTGCCAGTCCTGTCATTACTAGGTAGCCATTCTCCCCTAAGATTTTCCAGGAAACACTTATGTGCAGAGACGTGTCAGAGTGGCCTTCCTTAGCCCTGCTGCCTGTCTCCATGGAGCAGTTCATCCTCTCGCTGAGGCCAAGTACCCATGATGGCCTCATCCCTTAGGATCCTGACATAAGTGATGGGCTTGGGTGACAGGAAGGCAGAATTCCGGGTGCTCCTTACAGTTCTGCTGTGTGTCAGTGTTGCACACTGATGACACAGCCCTTCCTGGTGTTGCTGTTAGGCCAGGAGGCAGACATGTCCTCATGCGACAGTGGACACATTAGGGGCCACAGCCCCCGCACTAGCAGACTGCCACGCCTGTGAAGCTTCACCCTGGGTCTACCTGGCAGCTTGGGTTAAGTTTCTTCTCAAGGCAGTGTTCAGCCAGGGCCCTGGTGCCGAGCCTGCCCCACTGGGGTGAGCTTCGCCGATCATGTATTTTTATTTTTAGGATTTATTTGGTACAGGGTCTTGCTACACAGCTTGGACTCATAGTGATTCTCCTGTCTTAGCCTCCCCAATGCTGGTATTACAGGCGTGTGCCACCACACCCAGTTTTGGGGCAGGCATGGCAGGCCTGGAGTTCTGGGACCTGCATGTCATAAGGTACCAGGGATCAAACCCAAATCCTTGGGATTGCCAGGCAGGGACTTGGACCGCTCAGCTATCTCCCCAGCCCCACTGCCCAGTCCTCATGCTGTGGGCTCACGCTTTACGTATACACAAAAGGAAGAAATATAATTACATTGCCAAAGATTCACTACTCAGCATGTACTAGGACTAATTAAAACATGACAGCACTTGTTTTCCACATAAACTCCCCAAACTATCACTAAGTGAGATTATTTGTGACACTTTCTTAAGTCTTAGACAGATACAAGTTCATTAACCTTTCATCCTTTGAAATGACACAGTATGTGCTTTATACCTACTTCACAGAGGTTTTACCTATGATTAATAATCATTACAGAAATATAAACAAATTTTTAAAAAATATGGTATGGAAAAAGTTTATTTACATAATAAACTCAGGCCTAGGAACTTCACTCTTTCTGGAACTTTCTAATATTTCAGGACCTGCTTTTACATGCCAAATATACTCCTATAATTTTTCCTATTTGGAGCAATAATAGACATTTATCATGAGAGAAGCATAGCTTTTCATATATATATAAATTCAAAAGTCATCTTTGTGTGTACGCTGATGGTTATGATTGACCATCCTGAAGGAGTGCACACAACACCTCCTCCTGCCCTCAAACAGCCCTTCCTTGGGAAATTGGCTCCTCTTTGTAGAGTTTAGAGGGAGAAAATGACTGGAATCAACTGGGGAAACCTGCTTATTTATAAACACCGCAGTGGCTTTTTAAAGCTCACTGAATTAAAGTTTATTTTTCTTCTCCATCCTTATTGGTCTATGTTAAATGTCCTAAGCTCTCAACTATCCTAGGAGTTGAGAATACTTGCACAGTTACGAAGTGACCCACTGAGTTGGCAGGTATGAACAGGGACCTCGAAAACATTCCTGCATTAAATAGACAATCAAGATTTCTTGATAGTCCACATGCCATCCATCACAGAGTTTGAATAGATCTTCAGGGTGCCCACATGAGGTCGTCACGGAACTTCTTTGAGCAAGGTAATTTTTCATTTGCTTTTTGACCTCACATAGCCTAGTAGTGAGTCAAAATGTTATTTCTGAAGAGGGCATGGCTTTATGCAGAATCTCGCTTTGGCACAGAAAACCTGAGCCCCTTGGTTCTCCTTAGGGTCCACATAGTACAACAGACATCACCGCACAAAGCTTTTTCTGAGTCTAGCAAAAGCAAAGATCATTTGCATGAACACACAAATGGTCTTGAGGAGTGTACCCAAAATTTAAAGCAGTCCAGCAGCACCAAGTGCTATCCTCAGTAACAGGGAACAGAACACACAACTGTTCCCCAGTACGGAGGGCACGTGCCAGGTGCCTGACACTGGGCCTTCACAAAACTTGGGGCAGGTGGCAGGTTGCTGTGTTTGCATGGCGTCTCCCTTCCACCCTCTAGCATATTTCTTACCAGGCACCAAGGGGACACAGGCACTTGTGCGTCTACATCCTGTCTGGAGAGCACCGTCAGCGTGTTGGGCTGGCAGGTGTTAGGACAGCGGTGAGATGGTTAAGGTCCAAACCAAGAATGATATTCCAACCCAGACAGAGTTCCTGTGATGCTGAAAATCAATGACCTATGTTGCTTATTGAGATACAGCAAACTTTCTGTTGGCCTCTACTGGAATAAAGGCAAAACAAAAGCATGGACCAAATTAAAGCTCCATACTGATCCACTCCAAGAAAGACAGCTTATCTCTCAGCAGCTGCAGTTGAAGTTATATCTGATTAAGTTTCTCAACATGTACTGTCACTCTGAAAGCCATGTGTCTCCTGCATAGGTCAGAGATGACTGAGGTGTGGTCTGAATCACATCCCTGCTGCTTTTAAAGCCTTTGAGACTCTGTAAATCTCTTGGTATCTCCTACTAGAGTAATCCTTTATTCATGAATCAGAGATCCACTATGAGGATATAGCCATAGAAGATACTGATTTTTACATAATAAACACCTACAACTTTATCCATCAATTAAAAAGATATTTTCAAAGGAATCAACTGAAACTCTATTGGGAGACTGACTAAAGGATGGGTTTAGTGGTGTACTGTGTATGTCCCACATAGCACAGAGGGATTTGCCATATCTCAATAGATTTCCATCTACTAACAACACAAAATCCAAATGATATTTCTACAATAATAAAAAAATAATTATACTAGCCCCTCTCATCACTTTATCCACCATACTCCTCCCTATAACACCCCTACTAATAATTCTAAGCTAAGGAAATTAGGTTAACAAGACCAAGAGCCTTCAAAGCCCTAAGTAAATATATCACTATTTATTTCCTGATAAGAGCTGCAAGACTGTAAACTCACATCATCTAAATGCAAATCAGACACTTTAATTAAGCTAAACCCTTTCTAGATTGATGGGATCCTAACCCATGAAAATTTAGTTAACAGCTGAATACCTTAATCAACTGGCTTCAACCTACTCTCCCGCCCTGTAAAGAAAGAGGAGGGCAGGAGAAGCCCTGGCAGGTTTGAAGCTGCTCCTTTGAATTTGCAATTCAATATGATTAATCACCTCAGGGCTATGGTAAAAAAAGGAGTATAACCTTTATCTTTAGATTTACAGTCTAAGGCTTAAATTCAGCCATTTTACCACTACTTATGTTTATTAATCGGTGATTATTCTCTACAAACCACAAAGACATCGGCACTTTATATCAGAGACCCCATAAACTTATACTCAGAGCTGGGCCCAATGTCCCCTAAAGGCTCAATAGCTGCCTTTCTAAAGTATTTTGTTACCCTAGTCAATGGAAGCCTCAGAGGAAGATTCTAGAAGCATCACAAAGTTCATTTTAGGGGAGGGTCTACATGGCTTGAACATGGATTTGGTCCTACATTGGGCTGGCATTCACCTGTTATGTCAGCAGCTGCTGTTGTTACGTCAGGTTTTTTTCTTGGTCAGCACTTATACAATTGCATAATTTTTTGAGCATCATTTCAGGCCAAGGGGCCCCTTGATTAACTCTCCACCAATAAAACTTTCTATGGGCCAAACAGTTCTGATTACTTTTCATCTCCTTATGTTATGATAACTGTTTCCACCTTGTGATGAGTTAATAAGTGCTTAAAAAAAAAAAAAGATGCTGCTACTAAGCCCTGGTCAATTTCAAGATTCTGATGTCTCCACTGAAATATGAAAACCACGTTAACCTTAGCATTTCCCACAGGCCTTCACAGCATAGCGCGAGTTCACTAAAATGCTCTCAGTGGGCTCTGCTGTTTCCCTCACCGATGAATCTATTTCTGAGAGAAAGGAAGGGAGTCACTGGTGAGTCCTCTCAGACTTAGTGATTGGATCTTTAAAATAGGAATAGTCAG